CTTTTTCAAGGGGAGGGGACTCCGGGGTGGGTGAGCTACTTATAATCGGTGAAAAGCTGGAATGGGCGAAGTCACAACGGCCATAGAGTGCCATGCGGACGAGAGAGTGCAGAGAAAACAGAAGATCAACGCGTTTAAAGGAACTGAGTTCAAGATGTCCGTAGACCCCAGTCTGTGGACCCCTTTGACTGACAGAGTGAATGCATAAAGCCGACGAACGAGTTAACTAGTTGATACCCTGCCGGAACTGTTGAAGTGAGTATATTGGCAAAATAGGTCACACTCTTCAGTTGGTGGTTGAGGAGCTTTCAGTGATTCTCGGGAGATCAGAGGCTTATATTTCGCTGATCCTTTACATAATAACATTGGAGGTACTTCGATTGACGCATCGGTGACCAACATAGCGCAGGAGATCGAAATCGCGGCGCTTATGACTGCGGAGGCGTCTTGGGTTGCTCCCAGTTACCCTCCAGTAAACAAAAAAAAGAGGATGTGGCCGAAATTCACGAGCGCACCCCTTTTTCAACCTCTACAAGCTTCGTTCTGCCGGAAGTTACAGGGAGGTGGGGGGGGGTGGTGGGGAGAGGAAATAATCATTCCATATCAACTCAATTCTCTGATGGCCGTCCCGCACTTCAGTGACTGAGATCAAAAATAGACTACTATGCTACCGATCGATCCCCTTCGGCGATTTACTAGTTCATTGAAATTGATTTGAGCACTTTGAACCGGTCTAGTAACTTTGATGTTTTTTTTTGGTCTTCCTAATGTCTGACTAAAGGAAATACACCGTACTGTAGGCCTCATAGAGCCAGCCATTCAATCTTCTGAAGGCACTGAAGGTATACAAAAGTGGTGTTCATCATGCTATGATTTCGAAAAAGTCGACCATTTATACTGTACAGTCGTCATCCGGGCAGTTGATTAGGCGGTCAAAGGGTCGCAGACGCGGCTGCGGCGCGTCACGACCGCGGCGATCAGCTGTTTCCAGCCTGGTTTAGCCATTTTCTCCCTAATTTTCACTGTATTTTCTATTTTTTTCAAGGTAAGTTGTGTTATTGTCTTCATGAAGTATATTAGGACGTGGATTCTTTTTTTTTGTTCTGTAATGAAGTGTTTTTGCGATTTGCTGCTGCAACCGCGTCTGCAACCCTTCGACGACCCCCTAATCAACTGCCTGGATGACGACTGTAGATCGACGGAGTAACTGACGTCGTGCCAGTCCAATCTTAAGGTCTGAGTCAGAATCTTCAAAAGCTTGTTGAATACTCTTGTGCACAGCTGTTATGTTATGCTCCCGCCTCCATGATCACGTCCTCGTCTGGGAAGCTCGAGGGCAGAGACGCATCAGACTGACAAAATTTAGCAACATGAATAAGGCATACAGTTGGTCTGACTCATTGACGAGAACAATATCGACTTGTAGAGAACAAACGAAAGTAAATTTGCTGATTCCACAGCCCTTCACTGTGCTTGTAAATTAATTTTCTTGGTGACTGTTGTTTTCCATTATGTCCTTCTCCTGTCAAGCTACAGACATGTTGATAACTTCTCAGCTCATTCAAATAGAGAAACTCTTGCGAAATGTCAGTCTCAAGTAAAATTCCATAGTAAAAACCCTTTTTCGCCCTTGGTCCCAAGTTTATCGATTACACTGCGTGGTGAAGCTGGCAAGTAATAATCGCGAGGGAGAAAGGACTTGTATTTTCTCTGTTTGTGAAGTTTGATCAGCGCATCTCTGCACGCGTAGTCACAGTATGGCTTCTTGGGAGTAACATTTCCACACTCATTTTGCTGCCAGACCCGCGCCCTTGCACTAGGTAGTCTTGTCCGCAAGTATAGAGACCATATCTTCTCGCAGTTCAAAAGCACTAGACAAGGACGCCACTCGATTGCGACGAAACAGTTGACTCCGCGCCACTACCATCAGCACATATAGCGTCCTTTCTGAAACACTTTCTGGCGGAAGCCCTTGTGTTCAACTTGCTGCTCTTTCCATTCTGTATGCATGTAGGGTTGAGGTGATAAGGGCAATGGCTGGGTTTTTTATGCAGAAGAGCAGAAGAGAATTTTCCCGAACATGTCCTCTCCGTCTTATTCACGTACAAGCTCTGTGCGGCAGCTGTTCCAGGGCTTTTCTGCTTGTTTCTTCACCGTAGTGTTCGTCACCACCTTGTCGTTAGTACTTGAGCCCCACTGCCCATAATTTTTGATCGTGGGGCGTGCCTTCAACATGGCGAATGGATGGCTGGCTTCCCTCCTGCTCCCAGCCCCTCACTGGCAGCGCGGGATTTTGGGACCAGGGTAACGAGGCTGCAAATGTGCTAATGTTTACGTAAAGGATACGAAGGTTATAGGAGAATAGCGCGAGAGGGAGATGACGACGACAGTTCTGCGGTAGTCGGAGCCACTCTTTTATTAGGTTGTCCGGAAAGATCTCAGCGTTTTGTGTTACTATTTTTTGTACATTCTTTGCTGATTAAAAACTCTTTGTCCGCTTGGTTTTCAGTCAGTATACAAGAGAATTTTTGCGGCTATGTGGTGTGTTAAATGCGTTTCACCCACCATTGTCTTGTAAACCCCATTCGCCCACTAACGTTTTGAAGCATGTCAAAAGAGCAGGTGGTATAACTGCCGTTTCACCATTTCTTGATAAACCCCTTTTCCCAATAACTTTTTGAAGCATGTCAAAAAGGCAACTTCGGACGATACTTTTCTTCAACTACAAATCTTGGTCGTCAATCCGCAGTCGAGACAAAATTAACCAGGTGTGGGGCCAATAGTGTTGGAGAAAGCACCGTGCGACAATGGTTCGACAAATTTCGTTCTGGAGATTTCAGCCTTGAAGATGAACCTCGTAGCGGTCGACCTAAAGCAATACCTGACGAGGATTTGAAGGCGTTTGTGGAGGCTGACCCATCCCAAACAGTTCGAGAGATTGCAGAAAAGCTAGGCGTTGGCAAATCCACTGTTGCGGATGGTCTGAAACGCATTGGGAAGGTGAAAAACTCGATAAGTGGGTGCCCCACAATTTGAGTGACCGGCAGAAATTGGCACGTCTCGAGGTTTCCTCTTCACTGCTTTTGCGCAACAGAAACGACCCGTTTTGGACCGAATTGTCACCTGTGATGAAAAATGGGTCATGTATGATAACAGGAGACGTTCCGGACAGTTTGGATTTCGACGAACCACCGAGGTAATTTTCAAAGCCGAACCCTCACGAAAAAAAGATTCTGGTCACGGTTTGGTGGTCATCGGCTGGTGTGATCCACTATAACTTTTTATCACCAGGCCAAACCATCACAGCAGAACCCTACTGTGAAGAAATTCGACGAATTCCTTCACAGCAGAACCCTACTGTGAAGGAATCGACGAAATGTACCGAAAATTTTGTCAGATGCAGCCAACACTTATCAAAAGAAAGGGTCCGATTCTTTTGCATGACAACGCCCGCCCACACGTTTCACAAATCACTATCCATAAATTGAACGAATTGGGGGTTGAAGTTCTACCTCAACCGCCATATTCTCCAGACCTTCCACCAACCGAATATTCCCTTTTCAAACATTTTCAGAACTTCCTTGCTGGGAAATACTTCATCAAACAGGACCAGGCAAAAAAGCCTTCGTGGATTTCGTGAATTTTTGACCACCCAGTTTTTTACTTTGATGGGATTTCTCGACAGCTGTCACATTGGCAAAGTGTGCTGATTCGAACGGTGCTTATTTCGATTAAATCCGATGAGTATTAAGAAAGTTATGATCGTTCAAAGTGAAACACTCAAAACGCTGAGAACTTTCCGGACAACCTAATATATAATTCGAAGTCTTTGTCGGCAGTGCTTACCACTAGAGTATTGTTTAAAGCCTAAAACTTCTCTCAGAACCTCAGCTGTGTTGTTAGTTGGCGTTCGATGTTTTTTTTTGTGCCGAGGAATCGACATCTTTTCACAGATCATGGGACGTTCCTTTCGACCAGGTAGTCATCCTCAATGTTCAAAAGTGGCACAAGATCTAAGAAACGCACTCTAAAACAATCAAAGTCTATTCCCTCTAGCATTTTCAACGAAATGGAAGAGAGAACAGCCTGATTTGCCTGCCTGAGACAAGGCCGACATTTCTTATCGTTTACATCGGTAGCTCAAAGTGCGGTGCAAATGGCAATAGGTCTTTCATTGTGCTAAAGCACTAATTTTGGTTGCTCTTTCTGAGATCACTTGCGAAAATCCAGAATGTTTCTGGGGGATCCGACAAACCATCATCCTGCTCATAGGAGTCTAGTACACCCGTTTTCCGTGTGCGTTGGTCAGTCTGCCTCTATCACTAACCATAGGTTTCCATGCCAAGCAAATACCTACATTGGCGTGAAACAGAGGACGCTTGCAGAAGTAAGCAGTCATTCTGGAACCACCATTCAACTGAAAGGTTTTCTGCAGGTTTTGAAACTGCATGTTATAAGGGGCTACATTTCATGAAAGTAAAAAAGCACTTGCAGTTTCGAGTTGCTCATTCGGGAATCTTGTTAGTCCAATAGTGACCGATGAAATGAAAGACTTGACAAAGGACTTAAAGACACAGTACATGGTCATCTAATTCGGAGAATCCTTTCCTCGCACGAAGAAACCCACAGTCGCCGAGTATATACTGCTCTTGTGGCTCAGAAATGAGCGGCAAGAGCAGTACATAGTGAAGTTCCTGAAGTTTCCCACACGGGAGACGCTCCGCCTACGAAAGTCGATCTTGACCCTCCCTCACTCCATTTCACCAGCGTTGTATAGCGATGCGGTGTTGCTCATTTGTACTCTCTGTGGTTATCTCGTTTTTCTCTTATGCATTGAACATACACTGTACAATACAAGCTCCATCACCAGGAATCTTATTTAAAGGGCTCCTTACAGTTTCTTTCAGCAATTTTCTTCGCAAATAATTCAGTTACCACATGCCCTTTTGTTCTGAACCCACTGCTCCCACACGATTTGCAAACGGGACCGTGTTCTTTAATGACACTGAAGTTTGGGAATACCACGATTCGGTGGCCTAACCGCGCCGACGTTCCACATACCGAACGCATGGCGATGGTGACGTGACCCGTGGGGGTCCTTAGTGCTGATCATTTCCCCGGGTGGCACTTGGTAAGATGGGTTAATCGAATATTGTCAATTGCAGGTACTGCAAGGCCCTTCTATAAGAGCCTAACTTCTTTTGAGGAGCATAACCTGTCACTCGTTTCCTTTCTTTCCTTTATAGCTGCGTAACTAGTGGTTTGGGCTGTAGATCAGTCGTTTGTTGTATCTGTGTGAGAAATAGCACCATTTATCTCACTTCAAAAGGAAACCATCCACTGATATCACTGGTGCGGTGAGGTTTTTTCATTTTTTATAGTTCCTGAAAGACGACTGCGTTCCGGCTGTAAGGAATTGTGACGCTAGTTTTTGTGAGTCATACTTTCATTGACAAAACAACCACTGTTCAGGATGGCTGTCACTCACGTCATTTTCGATTTGGATGGCCTTCTCATTGATACTGAATCTTGCTATACAATTGCCAATCAGACTCTGCTTCGGAAGTATGGTCGCGAGTATACACTAGAGTTGAATGCTAGTATGTTTCTTCCTTTTTTTCTCTGATCTCAGCGCTAAAAATACTCGTTTGTTAACTTTTTTTTTACCAAGTAATTCAGTAGCATTACTATAATTCATGGTCCAGTCTATACCGACTGTATGGGCGGAGTAAATCAACCGTTGTGCTAGTTACCATGAGGCAGCGTTCAGGCTTCGCAGACGGCAGCGCTGTCGGTCGCGGGTTCGGCGCAATCAAAGTACGCATCACCTTTCGACTGGCATGCGATCGCGCCGGAACGGCGCGACCGGAGACGCTGCCCTCGCGAAGTTGTGAACGGCTCGGCTTAGAGCTGCCTTCCCCTCCCGAAGGCAGCAGGAGATGGATGTCTGGAGAGAAGGCAAAAGAGGTGGGAGGCGGTCAAGCACGTCGTAAGTTTGTTCGCCCGCGACGTCTCGCGTGCGTGCGATGCGCAGGGCAAGTCCTACAATGTCGCTTTCGATTGGACCAGCCGAATCGAGCGGGAACGGACTCCATGGCGGGCGATATCGCAACAACTCATCTCTTCAGCACTCAAATCCAGAAGGCCAGACAAAACAGCTCGTCCTCCGTTTATGAACTATCTAGCCGCGCCCAGCAGCGCGGCATGTTACGTATTGTCTTAACACAAGCCCCAAAAAACCAACTGTCTCCGCCGCATGTGCGATCAGTGTAAGAACTGTCATCCTCAATCAGTGAAATAACTCTGAAAGCTCCTTCAGAGATGATGGGAAGGAAAGAGGATGAAGCGTTCGCGTGGCTTTTGAAAGAGGTCAGTACTTCATTGTCCGCTCCCGTTGCTCTTCTGTTATCGCTGTCTGCAGGTTGGCATTGATGATAAAGTCACTGTCAAGGATTATTTGGCCGAATATGACGCCATGTTGGACGGCATGTTCCTCAAATGCAGGGCATTACCTGGAGCGGAACGATTAGTTCGACATCTCTCCAAAAAAGGTTGACTGTATGATCGATACTGATTGGTTGATCAGAGCTCAATGTTCCCCATCACTATAGATTTTCGCCATATTGTTATTTTAAGATGTTCGTTTCAATTTGTTCGGGTTTCTCGAGATCGATGTTTGCGCGCTCAAACACGTGAAGCCACACAAGATTGGTTGGATTTGATTAAGTAAAAGGTGGGTGGTTGCAACAACGCGAATTTCGTGTTCTTTAGCGGCCCCGGTCCGAAGTGGTGGGTTGTGCGGCTGAAATACCATAGACAAGATCGGCTAGGAACACAAGAGTGAAGAATAAAAACAGGAAAAGAACTTGTCGGGATGCAGCTCTTTCTCCGTATCACCTAGCTCTCACCATTCGAAATAGAGAAAGTTAGAGGCGGAACAAGCGCACCATCTGGTAGCAGCTAAAAAGGAAGGGCGCCGCCCTGGCCGTGAGCAGAGCTGTGGCAACGTCGTGAGCGGGTCGTGCTTTCCTCACGTATTTTTGAGCTGCGAAGGGGTATCCTCATGCTTGCAGGCAACACTATCATGTCAAAAAAGGCGTCTCCGCATCAAATGAAGGCCAGGCGTGTTGCATTGGCACAATAATGTAGCACTATTCCTGAAGGGGGAAAATGGCGAAAAAACGAAGTGAAACGGTCAAAAAAGCTGCGAAGAAAAGCCTTCGTTCTTCAATGACTCAGAAAGCAATTTCGGACGAGTTTCCCGTAGGCATCTTGCCGATAACCGCTAACAACCGCTACAATAAGTACGACTGCACGTATGTACTCATATATTCATGCAGCACCGCAGCAGCTTCATACACCCCTTCATGCCACGTCATGTTCTGCTCGTCAGTCTGAACGGCGCCTTTTTCTAATACACGCCTGCCCTCCGGATGATTTCCTTCCAGTATCTGCGACTTTCCGGTATGTCGCCCCTTCACTTCTCTCTTTCTCTCTCTCCTCGTCTCTCTGTACTGCGAATTCTGGACATTTGCAGCCTTTTGCTTACGGCTTCTTGCGGTTGATCCTTGGACGCCAGGCCACAACGCGCTGGCCCATGAGGCGTGCCCAAACAATTACCCCAAGCGCGTCGCGCAACAATGCAAGAAGATCTCAGCCCGCAGGGTTGTCGAACCTCTTGACTTAAAAGTAACAGTTCAATTTTCGGTGTTTTTAATAACGTTTTGCGTCTTGAGAGGAGAAAAGTTGCCAACCTACCAGCTTTGTTATGGAATTATCCCTTCCCCCTCTGCAAACCGATTGTTCTTGTTAAGTGTTTTGTTGGGGCCAGAAATCAAGAGGAGGGAAACCACAGTCCGGAGACCTAATCTGGGCCACGATGAATAGGTATGTATTATTTTCCGCGAAAGTTATTTAGGTGTTGGTAAATGATGAATCCGGAGCTAGGGTGACCTGGCCAAAAGGGCCAGAGAACATAGGTTGTGGTCAGAAGAATCAAGAATTTGGGTACCACACAGAGGAATTTCCTTGAGAGAGAGAGAGAGAGAGAGAGAAAGATTTAAGTAATATAAGATAGCAAGAACGAAAACTGTCTGAAATACCTGATTTTTTCTGTTGACTTGAAAGTCTCCTGGCTAATGTAATCCTGCCTCGCTGTTTAGAGACCAACGCCTCCTTTGAGATATTACGAAATTTGCCGTCGTCAGCGCAAATAATGAACCCTGCTATCGTCTCAAGCTGAATAAGCGTTGAAGCAGTAGACCGGTGACACCGGTGCCAAATATCTGCGCTTTTAAAGTCGGGTTATATTAATTTATATTGTATTGGCAAGTTCCAAATAACTCCTCAAATTGTGTTTTGCCATTGTAGTTGTTGTCATGACTGTTTCAGGTTCCCAGTGAAACCTAAGTCCCCTTCAGATGTGCTTGTGTTCGAGGATGCACCAAACGGAGGTAGAGCAGCAAAGGCAGCTGGTATGAAATGTGTCATGGTGCCTGCCGAGAGCCATCGGCAAGAAGCGCTTCAGATCGGGTAGATTTTACGTTCATGCAAGGTGTAATTTTTTTGAGTTTTACATGCATGATAGTGTTCTATATAGAGAGTCAGAAAATCTGCAAAGAGATTGGATCCAAACCAGCACACAAGAAAATCCGCTGTGTTCAACTGTCGTTATCACAGAAGCCAGTCGGGGCGTGTCAGCGGCGCGTCCGTTTGGGCGCGCCGACGGCGCCTTTCCACCACTTATTGAACGTCCGAGGCCGCAGCGATCGATAGGAAACGGGCAGGCTTCGCAGCGAAATATATGCCCACTGACACGCCCCGACTGACTTTATAGTGACGGCTGTATAGAACTGACCGATACCTTTTTCAAGTGAGCCATGCGTTCGATTCCACTTCAGAGTCGTAGTAACACTTGAGCGCGTAGTGCGTCATACAACAACTTGCTAGGGCCACCTGACGTTTAAGCCATTGCTTTCATCCATCCAAACGGAGCGTGTACCAGCAGATTCATTAGAAAAATTGGTCTTGGTGCGGCTAAACAAAGCGCTGCCCTGGTTGTGGTCTCTAGATCGAGCGCTGCTGAGCTTGTCAGAGTGTCAATAAATGTTAAATGTTTGAACATGGAATATCGTGATGTCAGTATGTCGTGAAAGCTCTACGGTCACTTGTAGCAGGAGAAAAGCTATTCCGAGCGAATCGGGTTCCCATGACTAGGGTAGTGTAGTGACAAGTGGCGCGCTTACCACTTGCGCGCTCCTGAGTTCGAATTCCCGGTCGGCACCCGCCCAGGCCATCC